GGGACCTTGTTGGGTGTGCTTTGCAAACATAGTTGCTAATTTATGAAGGATTGCTTACATGTGTTGTTTCCTATACATATATAATAAATACTGTGCAGTCATTAAAAGAGAGAAAAGCACGATACTATATATTGATGTAAAGTGATGTTGAAGATTTATTATTAAATGAAAAAAGCAGTGTACAATTTGTTTGGAATTTGTGGTCTTTCAAACAAATATATATATGTTCACATATGCCTCAAAAATTATATAACAAATTGCAATGGCTATATTGTGAGGGAGAGAAAAAGTGTAAATGATTAGTTTTTTAATGGTCATAATTTTTATAATTTGTTTAAATTTATATTACTCTTAGATTGAGTAGTCAGAAAAACTTATGGTATAGATTTTTAAATTTAATATACCTTTCTAATGTACTCAAACTTGTTTCCTTAGAAATGCCTCAAATTTCATATATTTTTGGCATTTATTTCTTTTTAAATAGGGTAGAAATTAAGTCTATGCCTTAGTGATACCTTCAGTAAGTAGGTTGTGAACTTATTTAGGAAACTGTGCTTAGGGAATACATTTTAAGGGGTTCATTGAAATAGAAAAACAAAGGGGGATTTTGGTAATAGCATTTTTCAGGGTGTTATTTGGAACTTACATGTTTGGTATGCATTTAATGTATTGTCTGATGGCAAGCAAACTGCTCTGTTTTCGCCCCTCTTTTTCTTAGTAAGAGATACCTTTTGAAAAACGGTTTTCATGCAGCTTTAGACCAGAGGAATATCTTTTGAGAATTTCAAAGCATCCCTCTGATCATGTGTTTATCTCTGGAATGCTGTGTCAGAAATCACAACTCTCCTCATATCTTAAGAATTATCAACTTCCAAGCAATAGCTGGAAAGTTTAGAGTAACAGCTACATGAGTGGAACCTTGCTGAAAGGCTGCCAGGTTGTGGGCCTTTGTGGATGGCAAGGTGTTTGTGCTCATTCCCATGCCGGAATTCTTGGTCTTATCTAATTTGAAGATCCTCTCTGGTGATTAGTGGATGCCAGGGATTTATCTTGATAAAGTTCAAGGGCTTGTCTGGCTTTTCAACTAGATCCTTAGGGACTGAAGTACTAGGCTTAAAATGCTCTTTTCTCTTTCAGTGGACTATTTGCATGTTAAATAAAATAGCATTTATATGAAAGTTTGTGATATTTCAAACTGATAGTACTTCGGAAATGGAACTTCTGAACCTTAGTGATCTGAAAGACATTGTTTCTTTTTGCTGTTGTTACTAGTTAAAAGAAAAATCTTCAAAAAAAAAAAAGAAGAGACTCCCTAGTTCAGGTAAAAACCCCCACAAAAGTCAGCAGTGTTTATACTTGCTTTCTGTCGAGGCCTAGGAAAATTACTTCTTTCTCATCTATAAAATGGACATAATAGTATGTAGTATTTACCTTATGGGTTGTTGTAAGTTTAATTTCCTCATGGGTTGTTGAAAATATAAATAATTCATATATGTCCTTAGTATAGAGCCTAACAAATACTAATTATTCATTAAAGTTGATGAGTATAAAGAAAAAAGAATAATAATATGTGCAATTTTATACTTTAGTAATTGGTTTTTAATAGAAAGTTGGAAAAATAGCTTCCCTAACTAAAAGACATAGTTATCTTCCAAATTTTTAATGCCAAAACATTTGAAATGCTTTTTGTTAAAATGGATGGCGGATATTAAAAATTCAGTGATTTCTTTCTTAAATATTAGCAAGGAATTCAATTTGTCTCTTAAGTAGACACTTAAGCTATAGCATGAGAACAGTGCGTTTAAAAAAAAATACTGTTAAACATGATAAATGCAGCTTTAAAGATTCCCCCTCTGTTGAAGATTTTAGTTTTTTTACTCTGAAATTTTATAATAATAGTAAAAACGGTAAAGGGAATGAAAATATCCTGAAATCTGCCTACTGCTTAATATCCTTTTAAGTGAATCATTGTGACTGAATTTTCTTTGTTTTTATGTAGCCCAAAGCTGAAATATTACTATGTTGCTTCCTCAGAGATGATTTGAATCAGTCAATGAATTTGGAAATTGATTTATTTTATTTCTCTATTATGTACTAAGTACATAGCTGGCCCAAAGAATATGGTTTGTTCCATTTGTGAGCAGATACATTTTTGTATGTTTGTAGTAGGACATAGATAATTTTTTATCTTGGAAGTCTTTATTACCATTGCTTATCAATGCCTATAATGTAGAATATATTTAAATGTTAATATGATTGTGACAATGGTTTCTCAACTCTTTGAACATTCTAAAAACCATGTAAGTGTACCCTTTAAATGAATAATAAATTGTATGGTATGTGAATTTATCATAATAAAACTTAAAGGTCAGTATGAGGAAATAGTTGAAATTTGAGGCTCTTATTTAGACAAACCTGGAGTTGTGGGGTAGTTTTGCCTTTACCTTGGCAAGTTAGTTACTTTACCTTTCTGAGCTTTTACTTTTTACATTTTTTAAGTGGAAGTAATATTTATGTTAGGACTGTTTTGTGAATGGAGTCATAATTCTTGGCATATTGTCAGTGCTTAATCATAGCAGCTATTAATTTATAAGTTTATATTCTAAGATCCTGTAGGACTACAAGGAATAATGCATTATGAAATTTGACTTGGCAGTCTGAGGAGGCTTACCTTTGAGTAAGGTTTTGAAAGGTGAGAAGGAAGTTTGCTGGCAAGCAAGACTAAGAGGAAGGCCTCTTGGCAGAACAAAGGATCAGAATTGTGAAATGATGTACACATTCAGCTCAAGAACTATCAAAGCATACTGAGAAGTGTGTAAGGAATGCTGGTTAAATGTAAATTCACGTAGGAAACCATGAGATGTGTCAGGAAGGAGAATATGTGAAAGATCTTGGACAATAGACATTTACTGAACTGAAGGAAAGTATAGCTGTTAATGATTGAAAGCATTATTAATGGCCATTGTTGAAAGGAATAGAATTGAGGTCAAGTTCTTTTGTTATCTTGTATTAACCATGTCCTCTTGGGCAAATACAGATTGTGCATATTATATTCTAGGACATCTGTGGTAAATTTGTTTTCTTGTTACTAGTTTTCCAACATTTGTAAAATGAAATAATGAAAATGTTTAAACATACAGAGAAGTTAAAAGAACGGTAGTGAACACTCAGAGACCCATCACTGAGATTCTGCAATTAACCTTTAGCTGTTAGTGTCATTGAACAATTCTCCATATATCCATCTTTCTATCCATCAGTCTTATTTTTTTGTTGGATTGCAAAGTATGCTGCAGATGTCAGACCCCTTCACTGTTAAACATTTCAGCATGTAGATCTTGAAACAGTGGTCAATATAGCTCATAAGGTAAAATGTACATACAATGAAAGGTACAGGTCTTAAGTGTGCCATTTGATGAGTTTTGACAGATTTAAACAGCTGTGTAACCTAAGTTTCCAATCAAGATATCATCAGTCTTGAAAGTTCCTTCATGCTCTTTTCCAGCCAATGCCTGTCTCCACCCTCTGCAGGCAATTATTGTTCTAGTCTTTGTTTTTTGTTTTTTTTTTAACAACAGATACATTTCCCTTTCTAGAACTTCATATAAAAAGAAATACCAAGTTTGTGTTGCTCTGAATAAGGCTTCCTTCAGTCAGTGTAATGCTTTTGAGATTCATCCATGTTATGTTTATCAGTAGCTTGTTTCTTTCTTTTTATTGCTGAATATTATTCCATTGTATTAGCATATCACCATATTTTTATTCGTTTTTCTGCTAAAAGGATTCGGGGCTGTTTCCAATTTTTGGCTGGTACAAAATAAAGCCTTTCTGAATTTTATTCTACCCGTTTTTTCTCAACATATGTTGTCTTAGGGAAATTTCTAAGAGTGGAGTTGCTGGTACATAGGGTAGGTTTATGTCTTAAATTTCAAATATAGAAAACCAATTTTACTATTATAAATATTATTTTCTGTTGCTCCTATCTGTATTTATCTATTGTATGCAGAAACTAGATCTTGCTACTTCTTTGTTTTGGGAACAAATGTGAAAGTAAACTTTAAGTATTCCTTCTCCCCTCTCCCCCGAAAAATAGGTTGCTAGGAAATAGGTAGCTAGAGATTCTCTTAAACAATAGGCTTGTAAATTTCTGCCTGGAGTAGGAAATACACAAATTACTTTTAATACAAAACAGTTCAGTTTTCTGAATGTACCACCAGCCCACGTGGACACACACACACACACACACACAGGGGTCATATCTACTTCCCCTAAAGTTAATAATCTTCATCTGATATAAGCTACCATGATTTAAGCACACCATTTTGGATTGAGGGCTCAGGTGGCTGTTGCTTCTATTTTTTAGTGTATAGTTAACATCGGCAGTCACCCTTATAATGAAGTGACACCAGCTATCCCCAAGTACATTGAATAAGCCATGCCTAGCACGAGAGAACTTGATTTAATTGGCAACAGTGTTTGCTGTCACATGATAGGCACTGGAGTAAAACGGAACCTATTTCACTTTGTATTGTCTCTTTCTGATGTAACATCAAAAACAAAATATATTTTTAAAGTACTGGAATTACATTATTTCCACTTTTGAATACAGTTATTGGGATCAAGTATCTAAGAAGTTTATTTAGAAACTGAATTCTTTAAAGCTATTAAGGGAATACTTGAAGCTTGCAGTTACAATATTGTCAACAAAAGATGTGATTAAATAAATTGAATGTTGAAGACTTTGGGCTTACGGTTAACATCAGGTAATTAAAAGTAAGCACTGCTGTGGGAATGCATTATATATCAGCTGTCCTCTTTACCTCATTAACTGGATTTTTGCATGTTTATGGAGCTAACTTCAATTAAAAATGCCTTTTAAGTTATGCCTAATAAGGTCTTTTAGTTACTATTTTGGTATAAAGTATTACACTTTAATTGAAATTGGTATATCATAAATACTGTATTTGAATAATTCCCAAGATGAACAGATTTGATTATTTGATATTTTTATATCTAGCTTTTATGCCTATGTGTTGTTTTCTCTATGTAATGTTGTCAAAAGACAGTCTTTTAGGGTTAAAAAGTAAAACGAGTTGTATACATGTTAAAAAATATTCATATCTGATTTCTAAGGTTTTATCATTTCAAATTAGCAGTGCTTTAAAATCCTTATAGAAACATGTTGAATTTTCTGCTTCACTTCTGAAGTTAAAAAAGTTAATTTCTTTTCCACTTTGGTGCCAACATTTTTTATTTATACCTTTGGTTATGTCTTAAGTTGGAAAATTAAAGATGATCCTAAATTTAAAGAATATAGTGAATACAGGTTTAAATGTTAAAACGGTATTTCCATAGAACATTGTCCCAATTCTTAAAAAACAAAGAAATAAATGAGAACACTGTTGAAGAGATTTCTTGGTTTTCTTTTTATTGAACAGATTTCTTATCGAGAGTATATTCTAAATTGTACATCGAAATGGCGGTAAGAAAGAAAATTAGAGAAGTTAGTTCCCTATTTCTGATCGGAAATTCATGTGATTAACTTGAGTGATCTGTATTTTAAAATCTGTTTACTTTCTTTATTGCAGAAGTGTCATCATTGCAACAAAAAAATCGTCAGCCTTACCTTCCACACTTTCTACAAGTATACCTACCAATGCTGTTAGTGTGGTGTCTTCAGTAGATTCAGCCCAAGCCTCAGATGTGGGAGGAGAATCACCTGGTGAGTTTCAACGGTGGTTCTAACAAAAAAAGTTTTTAGATCCCATTTTAGCGAAGCTTAGGATTTTTGATAAAGTTAAATTTTTTTAGGCATATTATAAATCATTATGCTTTTGTACTATACTGTTGATTGTTCAATAATTTTCTGAATAAATTTGAGTAATATCAGGTGAAGTAAATCAAGGATTTCAGTATTTTCTCCACTTGAAGGTAGTAGTGTGTAATTGGTTGCCGCTGGTTGGGTGGATGAATGCATGAATGAATGATAGATTTATTAAAATACTTAATACTGTTTTTCCTTTCCCTGCACTTGAGAAGACGTGTATAAACGGTGATTTATATGTGAAAGTTTTGGTGACCTTTGGTCTTTTAATCTGGTTATCAGTTACCAGATGTTCATATAATATCCAGCACTTTGATTTCTCTTGCGTGGTTTTCTGAATTAGAGACTTGGTAGGGGGATGCTGCCCTGAAATCTGTCATCGTTCTAGCATTAGTCATAGTAGTTCAGTAGCTCTTACTGCAATTTGATTTTTCCTCATCCCTCTTTCTATATTCCTTCCAAGTACAAAAGTATTTGGGTGTTTGTGTGTGGATACAAGATCCTAAATCCCTAAATGTTGGCTGGAAGCTTAGTGATATACCAGGTAAACTTGAAGACTGTGTGATATTAAAATGACCAAGTTAGGGCAAAGGGGATATTATTTAATATAAGTAGTATTTTTCGAAGTGTTGTGGTATTTTGTTAAAAAAAAATTAACAACTAAAAAAAAAAAAAACTCCACAAAAGAGTCATTGATTCTTGTTACTCTAGAATGAGATTAATGAAAAATAAAAAAAATTTTGAAGGAATGACTAGGTGGCTTGTATTAAAGTCTGATGTAAAGTTTTTCCTTCATCTTTTGGATCATCTCTTGCCTGCTGTTGTCTGTTGTTCTACTTTTATTTGCTAAACTAATCTCAGAGAGTTCTGCTTCTCACTTGGTGTTTTCTTCTAGCCAGTTGTCAGAGACATTAAATTTTTCCTTTCTGTGTACTATATATCATGTGTTCCAGAAACAAAGACCGTAATTGTTTATTTTGTCTTTCTCATTTTTTTTCTTTCACTGTAACTATTTTGTGTTAGCAGAATATTTTTTAAAGTTGTAGGTGTGATTAATTCTGTACACATTTCTTAGTGTTAAATAAGAGAAAATGCTCACAGCAAGTTAAGTAAAAAAAATTATATGAAGTGTTTTACATAACTATGTGAACTATGTATGTACTTTTATTACATGAAAAAGCAAAAAAAATGTACTCTGAAGTTACTTGATTATTTCTGTCTGGTTGAATTACTGGAAATTTTTATTTTCAAGCTTTTAAATTTTAGCATATTTTTCAAAAACTTACCAATAGTTCTGTATTATTTTTATACTTAGGAAAAAATAATTGAAGAAAAATTTCCACAGAGAAACCAAAAGCTGCAGTGGTAGTAGACAGAGTTTTGTGCTGCTCTGCTCTTTTGTTTTATTAAAGCATTTTTTAAAATTAATAGACCTTATTTTTTAGGTCAATTTTAGGTTATAGAAAGTTTGAATAGAAAGTAGACAGTTCCTGTCTACCCCCTAAATCTCACCCTCTCTGCATTCCTTTGTTATTAACATCTTGCAATAGTGTGGTTTATTTGTTAGATTTTTTTTATCATTGTCTTAGAAAATATAAAGAAAAATTAAAGTGTAGACCTCTAGCAGGTTTTCTTTCTTCCTTATTGTTCCATTATACTCTGATGCTTTCTTTTTTTTTTTTTTTAACTTTGGAGAAGAAACAATCTGGTAATCTATTTTGGGCTGGTTATGCAAATTTCAGTTCTTCCATCCCATCCAAAGCTCTTAAAAAAATCAACTATGATTTTTCTAGGCTGGCTTCTTTTGGGAAAAAGGCAGAATTTACTAATATCTATGAAGCTGTATGCCTTCTTTTTAATTCAGTAATAGTGTATTCCTGATAAGTTCCCAGAGCATATGTAGTAAATTCAGAAGTTCACAGTACACACTGAGTAAAATATTATCTCTTATTTTGAATACATTGCCCTTTAATCTCATTTTATGGGACAAAGCAAATAGGACCCTCTGATTGCTTTTTAATATATTTTTCAAAATTCATGCATCAGAAGAGGTAAGAAATAAAGCTGATACATGGGCAATATTTGATATAAAAGTATATAATAAATTTCTCTCTAAAGCCATTGTGTATGTTCTGGTAAATCTATTATAAAATACTCTCCTTGAAGAACCATATGCAGAATTACAGAATAATTTGCTGTCTTGAAGACCATTGTGTTTATTGGTAAAACCCCACAAAACCTGTATCTAGCCTATAATGTACCTTTCCCCCCTATTATTTAAATTTTGATAATTTGTGGTGGTAGTGTTTCTTAGATAGTTTCCAGGTTTTCCCATTTTGGGCTAGAATTTTTAGTTCTTTCTTTTCCCTCTCTGGCCCCCTTTATTTAAAAAAAATAATTTATTCCTTTTTTAAGTCATTCTAAGTCATCTTTGTGATGATGATCTTTCTTTTTGTCCTTCGTTTTGATTTTCGTACCTGACCCTTTCCTCTTCCTGTCACTACAGTCTTGTTGTCACTGTTACATGGTGTCTCCATTTTAGTTTATCACTTCTGGTCTGTTCCATTGATTGCTGCCATGGACATTACTGCCTTGATAAGAAATCTAACCTAATTGAGTATTTTCAGTCATTTTATTTCTTGCTCTCCCACAGCCCACTTTTCATATTTTTGCCTACCATACTTGCCCTTGTATTCTGTTCTCTTTTCACTTGCAATCCAAATCCCACAAATAAAGAGTTATCTCTCCACCATCAGTATTTTCAACTGATAGATTTTTGTATTCTTTTTGGTGGATCTCTTGATTTAAGTTATTTGTCATTAAAAATATATGCTCTTTACAGTATATTGCAAAATTATTTTCCTTCTTCGGGTTCAAGCAGGATTTGGGAAAAGTGATTTGTGGTTGAATTGATTGTTATTGTAATTACATGCTGAGCTGGGCGATTTATTCTTGCAGATCTGGGTAAGCTGGGTATTAGTCTTTGTTTGGTCTTACATATTTTCTTTATATGAAAGTACAGTTAATATCTTTCCCTGTGGAACATAAACTTTTGTGCCTTGAGATGACTTCAGTTCTGAATTTTATAGTGAGTCAGTGACAAAAAATGAGCTGCTTAAATTCAGTAATAGATTATCGGTTAATAAAAAATATGCTTGATAGGACATATACATTAGCAAAAATGAGAATTTCCTTGGAAGAAACCATGTGAATTGAAAACATAAAATATAAGTTTTGTAGCAGAAAAGTCAACTATTTGGAAATTTAGATATTGAAATGGGATTTCTAAATTTTACATATGGCACAATTAAGGAGAAACTGGGACTGGATCCCAGAAAAAGAGTTAGAGCTTGTCAGCTTTGTATGAGGTCAAAGGTTCTTTGGTCAAAACATAACCACTCAAATAATTTTATAATTTTGTGAAAAAATTAAGGATTTGTAAATACATTTTAAAACTGTGTACATTATTAAAACTATAGTCAGTATTCAAATTTTGACTACATACAAATTTCAGATTTTAGTTTGAATAAATTTTCTTAGTTTCTTAGCATTTTATTAGCAAATAGTATAATCTAATAATAATGGCAATTTTTTTCATAATAAGTTGTAAAATATTTATCAGAGAACAAGGTATATCATTTGTATTTGTACATTTATAAAGAAAACTAAGAGATAAAGAGTTTTTAGTGAATATATCAAAATATTTACATTTTAAAGTTACTCATCAGCAAAGGTTTAAATGGCCAGAGAACAATATGTGTTAAAATGCTGTTAATTTTTTTTTCTAATATGTGTGGTGTTCCTCAGATATGTATGATTGCAAAGCATAAATGATTAAAATAAAATTGAAGCTAACCCAGTGGAGGAACTAAATAGACTGTTCTTAAGTAATTTATGTACTGGGTGTTTGCTAATCTTCAAAATTTAATGATTATGCTACCTTCTAGTATATCAGGCTCTCTTCTGTTTATCAGAGCCATGTTTATTATAAATTAGTATGTTCATTTTTAATGGGTTAAAGAAAAATATTTGATTCTTTACTTCATATATTTGACTCAAGAGACTTATCTTTACTTATTCAATGAAAGTTTCTTTTATTCAATAAAGAGTTTTAACTGGGCATATAGATTGTCCCCCTGAACTGGTCCGGAATGGATGGGGAGGGAGAGAGGGGGAAAAGGGAGAGAGAGGACAGTTAAAAATACAGTGTTTAGGGATTAAATATTGGCATTTGTTTTAATGATACTTTATTGCAAAGGGCATTATTTATTTAGACCCCTAGGGACCTTGAATAAGCAATTGACTATTCCCTGGATAGATGCTAGACGAATGATCTGTTTAGATTTTCCTTTATGTTCTTTTAAATGTCTGGGAAACTGTCAGTTTGAAGGAGCCAGTCTATCAGTGCAAGGATAAGGAGAAGATAAGTCAGTATCAGTCCACATGTTGGAGGTTGCTTCTGAATTTACGTATGTGTGATCACTTGTTGAAAATATTTAATGTTAAATTAATCAAAACAAATTTGTCATAGATTTATGATTTTTAATCTTAGCTGAAAAAAATGCAAGATGTGTTTGAAAGTTACATTTTTCTGACTGGTAGGAATGAAGAATAACCTAGGATGAAATTACTGATACATTTAGTTTATTTTTTCATTTTTGATTTTTTCAATTTTGATTTTTTTCCCTCTTAAATCTGTTGATAGTTGATTCACTTATGTTTGTTGGTGAAGTGTGTTTTATGACTTAAAGAGACCACTTTATAAAAATCCCTTTCTGCTATAGTCTCCTTTAGGTTTGAAAATCTGCATTACTTACAGGGTATTGTCAGGAAATCATTTTTGTTATTGTTTTGTTTAGAGCAAACAGTGCTCCTACTCTTTTTAAAATTTTTGGTAT